CCCCAAAACCCCAAAACCCCAAAACCCCAAAACCCCATATTGTGAATGAACATTGACAATAACAGATAAATATTTAAATTAACAGATTAATTTTACTTATAAAGACTTAGATTTATGAGCAGCTTAGGTCCTGAGGTGAGTTTCCTGAGGGTATAGATTGTACTTCTGGTATAGCTTAAGAGTCTCTGTTCTGGGGGAAGTCTCTAGAGATGTCAGTAAGCTTCAATAATCGGGACTAAAATCGGATGGTTTTAGTAATGAGTGCCCGCCTTCTAGTAAATCAATTCCTTTTCAACTATTCTTGGAGAAGTTTTGAGTGTGCTTGGTAGACAAGATCATCTTTAAATTTGAAGCAAAGTCATCCTGAATTAGGAAATCATTTCAATTAAGTTGGCTAGGATTAGTAGTCTGATTAGTAGAAGCCAAAAATCTTGACAAGTCTGAGAGTAAAGAAGTGGAGGTATTTACTCCATTTCTTGGAGATATTTTCAACTTTGGTGCCACCACTGGCTCGAAGGCTGATTTAATTGAGGAATTTCTAGCTACCTTAGCTGAAGTTTGCTTGTCTAATGAATCTGTATCCTTCTGAGCTTCACAAAGGTTGTGAAGTTGAAGAGGGTTTCAAACATCTTCATTGCTTTTTCACTGTTTCATCTAAAAGAAATGTCAATATTGTGATTTTTCATAAATCTTTGATGAGCATTTCATCGAATGGAATAGCAAAGGAATACTAGTAATAAACAATGCCTTATCCATCGCCCATCCTGGAACTATTAAAACCTTCAAGCATATTTTACTAATTTTAAATTTAAATGCCTAATAGAGAGAAAATAGAAAGAAAGTAAGACATTAAAATATCCAAAGGACTCAAGCTATACTAGCATAGCATAGGGAAGGCTTATACTCTTTCATAAGTATCCAAGGGGTTGGCTCTATTGTTCTGTCCTTACCTCAGGCACCTCTTCTAAGGTTGGCGCAAATTCGTTAGAAATATTTGAATTTAAATTCAAACTTCTTAGAGGAATCCTAATCTTTGAATTGGAGTCATCACCGTTCACAGAAAGTGGATTTGGATCTACAACTACTTTGTTGCAGAAAGCGTTGATGCTAAAATCTTCGAAATTCTCATTCTGATGAAGATCAAGAGAAGATGTCTTTATCAATATCTTGTTGCAGCATTCATTCTCTTTGTTCTCTGTTGATTTCTATTTATTAGATACTCCAACTTACTTTAGATTTGGCTTTCCTTCCTCTTTTCTTCTGAGTGGTTCCTTTCTTTTTGAATTTATTGATCAGCTTTCTCTTCAGAGTTGAATTGAAGTGATTCTTTATAGCATTATCTGTTCTTCCTGGCAGCATTTTCGAGATTTCAGCCCATTTATTGCCATGCTTCAAATGAGCTTCGAGGATTATCTTGTCCTCTTCTTCAGTCCATTTCCCGTTTCTGATGTCAGGGTTCAAGTGGTTGTGCCATCTCTCCCTGCACTGTTTCCCAATCCTCCCATTCAACTTGGAAGCAATGAACGACCAATTCTTGGCTCCATATTTCCTGACAAGAGAGATGACAGTGTCGTCTTCTTGTTTGGTCCAGGGACCTTTGACAAGTTCTGGGTTGAGGACTTTCTGCCATCTGTGGAGGCACTGCACATCTGAACGGTTTTCAAAGTACTGTGCAATCTTTTTCCAACTTTTGGCTCCAAACTTCTCAACAAATACTCTTAACTTTTGATCCTATAGTACAGGTTAAGATCTACAAGGATAAAATCATTCTATAATTTAGAGAAAGTTCTCTACACCTAAATACGCATGATGGTGGTATACTAAGAAGTAAGAGTGTCTAAAAGATCTGCTCTTAGAAGCTAAAATTTAAAGTGTAATCAGGAAGTCGTTTCTATTCTCTGCCTGAAAAGCTTATATCCTACAAAGAAGCCTATCTTTTTCTCAAAGATGATCCTAGTTGTTGAATTTGAATTATTTCCTTCGATATTTACTCACGGCCCTTAAATGTAGAGCTGCTAAGGAGTGTACCTCCAATAAGCTAGTTAATAAACCTACTACTCTAGAGACCCTTAGGTCTTAAGCTAATCGGGGGAAGACGATCATCAAGAATTACTTTCAAACAATAAAATAATTTAAAATATCAAATATGGAGGATTAATCTCAGCTATTCCTTGACAATTTCCGACAGGATTACCTCTTCCTCAGTCCAGTACTGTTTCTTAGTCTTTGGCCTCTCCTTATAACCATAGTTGTTAAAATCCAGCTGTGAATTCGTGCTTGTTTTCAAATATCTCTGTTTTGGCGCACTTTTACTGTCGCTCCTCTTCCTTTTCTTTCCACTGAACATGCAGGCAGTTGACTCAGCACTTGATCTTGATGACTGAGGAGATTGCTCTTCCTGGTAGGACATCCTCAAAATGTTAGAGTTACTAGTTTTCTTGGTTTTAAGTCTCGCTGAACGCTTCATATTTGCTGTTATGTTTATCCAAAATATTCAATTAGAGTTCAATTTAACTTTTTTCAAATGGGGTTTTGGGGTTTTGGGGTTTTGGGGTTTTGGGGTTTTGGGG